GCACCGCACATTTTTAGGGGAAAAAAAAGACGTTTAAGTGCGCCTTATAGTCGTGAAAATACGGTACTTTATATTCTATCCCCAAGCTGAACAGAGGAAGTGCAATAAATCATGTTCTGCTTTGAAAAGGTGTTATAAAGACACAGCAGGAGAGGAAAAGGGAAGCTAACCTTCCTAAGAAGTCATCTTTGTCTGGATCTTCATCAAACAGCTCGATTTCCAGATGTTGACCAGAGGGCTCATACACAAGAGCCTTAAGGAAAAAAAACACGAAGAGGCTTATTTAGAGTGCTTGGTAAATAGAGGAAACTAATGATGTGAAAAAAAACAATCACATTTCTCTTCCCTTTAATTATTAGATTAAAAAAGGCCTCTGTTTTGATATGTCAATATCATCACCTCATAAACCTCATTCCACTTGGGATGGAGGCTCTCCTTTATCGTCTTGCTATGGAACATTTGATTGCTGACATGCAGGATGCCATAAGGGTCCGACTTTCCTTTGATCAGTCCTCCCAGAAATTGATCCTTCCCTTCCAGATCCTGAGCCTCGAGGAAGTGAATCCTGAGAACTCCCTGTGGTGATATGCAGAGCAGAAAGATAAATGGTGTAACTGGTCATTCAAGTCTGGAGAGTTACTTAAAAACATTCGTTTCAATGTTTCAATGTGGAGAGAGACACATTCTTGAAAAAGTTCAAAGAGTAAACAGGTTATCTCAACTGCAAGTTGCTCAAAATTGGGAACAAATATGAGAAATTAGTAATCCAACACAAGCATGTTAATAAGGTGCAAACTCTAAAGGTATTTTGAAAAAGTAATATTATGAAACTTGAGGTGTTTGTCTCTTGTCAAACTCAACTCCAGACAGTGTTCATGGATGCTGGGAGAACGAGAGACAATGAAATTAGATCCTAATTGAAGCAAGTTAAAAGTGATATAAAGTCAGCTTTGATGATGGTTGTATAATTAGCTGACAGGGAACTATTTTTTCTATTTAAATAGAAAGAACTGTTTATAACTAAGCACCACCAGCAGTTAAAAATCCAGTTTGGTAAAAAGACAAATTCAAATCATCTTGAAATAATTAGCAGACCATTTATGCAACTGAAAAGTGGTTTACTTTTAACACTTTATAATGTCTTATCTCCTTAATTTGGGTGCAGGCAACACACAGTCACACTGCTGCTGTACACATCGTTTCAGATCATAACTGACAAGGATGTATATTGGAAAAAAGAAATCATAACAAAAAAATAATAAATTCATGTTTTGTACTATTTTATACATCATCTCTTAAATGTTAAAATTGTAATAATTTATTAATTTTATTATTCTCTGATGCCACATCGACACCTCTGTAGTATTTCATACAATGCAAACAAGTATTATATGCAGCCTAAACTATCAAATCCAACACTGATTCTGCAAAACAAATACCACTGCAGAGAACTAATCATCATTTCTAAACTGGCTGCACCTTGTAAAACCTTTAGTTGGAAAATGTTGGCATTTTCTTCATTATTTATATAAGGTGTTTCATTTAGTTAGTCATTAAGGCTCAAAGAACATAGATTTCAATCAAAAGTGTGAATAAAGGCGACTTAGTCCAGTGAAATGACAGATATAATTATAAAAGGACTTGGAGAGCACAGACTTCTACCAAACAGCAAAATTTGCCCCCAATTGTGACTTGCACCTATGCAAAAACTCACAGATTATCAGGATCATCAAAACATTTTTAATTAATCGATCCTTAGTATGAGGAACACCTCTGATAAAAACAATCTGTAAAATACATTTGTAAGTTTTCAAATTATCCTGCTAACAAACCAACAACATTCCCTTTTCTTATGTTTCTGTCTTCAGTAAAATGCCTCCGGACTTTTGAGTCTGATGCCGAGGCTGTCATTATTCACTGCTGCCACCCTCTGGGTTAGTGGTGAACTGCTTGTTCCACCAAATATTTCTATCCCACAATGTTAGAGAATCTTTAAAAAATCTCTGTATCCAGATTATGATCTAGATCATAACCAAAACATGTCATTAAAATCAAGCCATAACCTTTCAAGTTATCCTGTATACAGACAGACAGACAGACAGACAGACACACAACATCTCTTAAAATCATAAGCTTCTTGGCGGAGGTAAATACAGAGACTTGCTTCAGTACCTTGGGCATTGGAAAGCGAAGCTTAGCCAGGTCCTCGTCTCCAACCAGAGGGATTGTTATTCGATTGGGCAAAACCACATAACTGTAGATTATGTCTTGAATCAGATTGTTGGAGAAGCCGCTGCAAGGACAATAAGATGGGTGGAGATGTAAGAATGTAGGATAAGGGAAACAAACGGAAACCAATTATTGCATTAAGAGTACACTAAGGGTATATTCAGTTTCATTCTTTTATGCTATAAAGGAATAGGGCCAGGAATTTTGAGCTGATGCATCTTCTAGATTACATAATATTTCAGAGATGTGGGATGACAAGGAAGGAAGTGAAAAAATAAAATTACCCACTGTCATTCTTTTATCAAGCTGGCTTTAAGGGGCATACTGGAAAATTACAATAACTGCTAGAGAAATGTAATTAGAATGAACTTTCATTAAGCTGTCAGGCCTTTCCCCTATGATAGATTGCTGTGATTATGGAGGAAGTGTCAATATAACACGATGTGTCTATTTTGATTAAAGAATTATTTCTTCAGATACCAATCAGTTGTAATTCTGAGAGGGCCTCTTAAGTGATTCATCAATCAGTCAAACAGAGAAAATACAATATGGGCTTCCAGAAATATGACCAGGCTGCAAGCAGGACATAACATCTAGTCAGAAAGAACCTAATGAGTCCATTCCCTTTGATTCGCACTTATACAGTGATATGATAGAGTGCCACAGCATGAAAACAGACTGCATGTAATTTGTGACGTAAATCTGTAAAAAGATGAATCATTGGTGTCTTGCTGAATAACACCCAAGGTTATTGTTCTGTCTGTTTAAATCATGAAAATCTGATGACCCTGATCAGCCAGGACTGATGTACGGGTTCAAAATTCAAATAAACATCCAGGATTTATATAAACACCTTAAAAGGAAGTCAGATCAAATAATTAAATAAAATTAGCAAATAACCAAATTAACAGGTGTGTAAAATTGAAAAAATTGATAGCAAGAAATTTTAACCAAAGTTTAATAAAAATGTACCAAAATACTGGTGCAACTCAAAGTATGACAGGGAATTTATCAAACCACTTTAAATTTAAAAAAGTGATTATTGCTTATTATGCTTATTCATTATAAAATTAGAGATTTTATGTCATTATGTCTGTCCATTTTTAATAATTATAGGCTAACATTGAATGAAACCCCAAATCTAAAATAAACATATAAATAGAGAGAATAGTTAATGACACGTTAAGAAGGATTAGCCACCAAAGGGCAACTCTGAACGGTTAGAAACTGCATTAAAAACTGCTGAGTGGAAGAAAAAAGTTTTGAAATTGGGGGACCTTTACAAGATGTTTACTGTCCATGCTTCAAGAGCCAACACATTCAACAACTCAAGGACATGGGCTAAAACTGTCCAATTTATTTTCCTAAAGAAGCATAGTCATGTTATATGCATTTACAAACCGCACAAAAGAAACATTTGATTATGATAAAATAAAATAAGGTTATATACAGTAAGCATTGATTCTGTTATTAGTTTGTTAATATTTTCTGAGCCTAAATAGAATTGTAGCAAAGGAACAATGAGCAGACATAAACAGACTGGCACTGTCAGTAGTATAGTGGAATTTATCAGAAAGCCAGATGGTGACTATTGATGCAGCTTTTAATAGAGCCTGACCTAACATGACCACCCTACAATTCCTGCTGGTGTAATAATGGCTCAGGGTGGTGAAGAAACATCAATATTGATTAAATAACCTAATCTGGCAACTCTAATTTCTAGTGAATTTTCCTCAAAGCTTCGTATCAGAACATTAAGGGAAAAGAAATACAATTCCCACTCCTAAAATACACAGAAAGGGACACAGCATTAAAATGCTTGCACTGTTAATGAGGTTTGAATTGAATCTGAAAGCGACAGAAAAACTAATTAACACTGGATCTTGGACCTAACTATTTTCACAACCCTGCTGGTGTTAGCCCTAAACTTCCTCATTGAGCCCCACCGTTGCTTTTGGAGACATAAACGAAGGGCTTAATCTACTTATAAATTAGGCAAAAACTGTATAAAATGCTAAAATAACAAACAACATTCCAACACAATGGGGTAATTTTTCAGGAAACTTTGTAGGCAAGTGGGGTGATCTACAAGCACACACATTTAAAAAATGTCAAATGATTGCATTATGCCCTTACGGCAATCCTGACTCACATCATGGGCTATCTGCCTCTATGCCATGCAGCATTAGGTCCATGTACTGAAGAGCTAATGGTCTTACTTTTAAGTAATTATTTATATATGGTTATATATATTTTATACAATATTCTCAATCTTCTAAGAAAACTAGATTTAGGTTTTCATTAGCTGAAGGCTTTAATCATTAAAATTAACATAAAACAATACATAATTCATTTCAAAACTGCTTGACTTTCTTTTAAATTAAAATACTGTACTGAATGAGGACTTAAATAAGTTTATAATCCCTTTGGCTGAACCTTTATTTATTTGCATGTTAAATCAAAGAATACATATTTAAAACAAAATACTGTTGATGAGGGACATAACATAACATTTCATAACATTTTCTGCAGCGACCAGCAACTTTCCAAAACCTCCAATGCCAGTTACCAGCAAGAATAACATCTATCCATCCATTTTCTGTTATGCTTCATCCCTGTTGGGGTCACCAGGGGTGCTGGTGCCCATCTCCAGCTGTCTACGGGCGAGAGGCGGGTCACACCCTGGACAGGTCAGGAAGCATAACATCTCCTGGAAAATGTTTACTTTTGTTTAAGGAAATGAAAAAAAAGTGATGGACTGATAAGAATAAAGAAAAATCCAAGCGTATTGGTTAAAGAACAAAGGAAATTTCCAATAAGTCAGTTGGAAAATAAGGGGATAATAGAACAAGAAGAATTAAAATCTAATTCTGTGTCTAATGTTGGGTGAATTTAAAATAATTAGAGCTTTTAATGAGCAATGTAAAGACCCTTTAACCCTCATTGGACTGGTTAAGGCTACGGCACCAGACAGCAGCAAAACAATATATTGCACTACACACACTGCTTTAAAAATCTACTTCTGGTAGATTAGGTTACAGCAGTCCAGTAGTCCTAATGCTGTAGAAACCTTTTTAATGGTTCAGCATTACTAGTTGATTAATGTCTTTAACCACTGATCACTATGAAGCACACTCTCTGCAAAATAGAGGATATCACTAAATTTTAATCCATGTCGCAAAGGAAAAAAACAGCATATCAGTAACTTGGTTGATTCTGAGACCGGCTTAGTTACTTTCTGAAGCTATTCATAATGTAAAGTCAGTTTAGGGTTATTAACTTAAAATTAATGTCAACAGTAAGCTTAAAATACATCATAAATTACATTTTAGAACAAAATGACATTATGCACTACATCTCTGAATGAGAACTCAAAAAAATCCGGCGTAACTAATTGAAAAACCTGTATCAACAGTTCAACATCTTCTTAACAATGACAATATACTTTAATGTCTTCCAGTCAGGTTTCCGTGCCAACCACAGAGACAGCCCTGATTAAGGTGTTCAATGACATCTGTATAAATTCAGACCCCTGAAGAACCACAGTGCTGGTAATATTGGACCTCAGTGCAGCGTTCGATACTGTTGACCACTCGATTTTATTAGAGGGTCTGAGAAACTGGGTCAGCCTTTCTTGTACAGCGCTGGACTGGTTTAAATGGACTCAGACCTGAACCTTCAGAGCACATAAAGGCAGTCAGCCTTTTATCACCTGAAGAACATCTCCAGGATTAAAGGACTAATGTCCAAGCAGGATCTAGATAAACTCATTCATTCTTCATAGGTTTGTCTCAAAAGTCCATCAGTGAGTTGCAGCTGATCCAAAACTCTGCTGTCTGTCTGATTATGAAGTCCTTCCACTGGCTTCCTGTAGCTCAGAGAATAGACTTTAAATTCTTCTTAGTCTATAAATCACCGAATGGATCAGCACCCTAATACGAAACAGATTTTTCATCAGTGTATGTCAGCCTTCTCTGTCCACACAGACATGGAGAAGCAGCAATTAGTTCCTATGCTCCACTGACCTGGAAAAAATTCCCAGAATAGAGTTTTTTTTAAGTCGAAGTTAAAAAAAGCAACATTAGTTCAGAGCTGCCTTTGACTGTTGAAGTTAAACTGTTGACTGAGGTATTATTAGCTTATAGTTGTGGTCCAACTGCGTTATTTCCTTCTCTATCTGATTTTATCATGTTTTTTATCTGCTTTTATTCTGCTTTTTGTGGTTCAACTTTTTAACGAATGTTCTTACTTTCATCCTGCTTTTACTTTTCCTCTATTTTATTATCTACTTCTTGTAAAGCACTTTGAATTGCGCATGTAGTGAACTGTACAATACATATAAACTTGCATTGCCTTAACTTACGGTTACTCACAGAAATATTCCCAGACATTGTACTTCTTCATGTTTTGTTACATTGCTACTATAAAATGTAAATTTTATTAAGAAACATAAATTCTGACATCCTGATTTTAAAATAAAATAAAAGATTTTTAAAGATGTGGCATCCATTTGTTTAGTAAGATTTCCTTTTATTACCCTGAGATACAGTCTTTTGCAAACAGTTGCCTTAGGTAGTCACCTAATTAATGTTAGAGCTGAAGGCATTAGGAGAACATCAATAAACAAAGAAAAAAAGAACAAACAGACCAAGACACACAGCAGAGGGCTCATGCATAGCTGTGGAGATGTTTTTATGGAGGGTTAAACACTAAATTTAAAAGAAAGAAAAAATCTCACACCTTAACAGCAAAGTGTTATCTAAAACATGATCCAGTTTCTTTTAAAATAAAGAAACAAAATGACTTGAAGAGACAGAGATGCTTTGCCGTTGTCTTCTGGTGCCAAGAGGAAGTAGACATTTAATTATTCTCCATTTATCATTTAGAGAAACAGTTACATAATGGCCTGCTGAGAGAGCTGGAGCTTCTCTAAAACAGCCAGCGACAGGGATTCCTGCTGCATCAGTGCTTGTAGCTGCAGTTTTTCAGCTCTTTTGTTGTAAACACCAGAACTCCCACATGTCTGTGTGTTTATGTGTGTGTAAGTTATTTATGTTCGTATACCTCTACTAACTGCATCTGTAGTACATGCATGCTTTACTGGCTATGTACAATATAGCGGTAATGGTTTTCTCTGGCTATTGAGTTGCATGGATTTGTCTTTGCAGTGTTACTGTATGATTTGTACTAATAGTTTAGTTGGTCACTCCATCTTTTCTGCTGTAGCAACTACTAGATTGCCATAAAATCTATATGTTAGAGTGCAAACATATATCTTTTACAGAAGATAAATACTATTGGCATTAATAGTCCCCAAGTGTGCCCTCATGTACAATTAAAAGGAGAATTTTTTCCTTTTTACGGTAAAATGTTCCCACGTCAGCAGAATTCATTGGCACCTAGATGAGGCTGTTATAAATATTCAGAGCTCTCGGAAGAATATTTTAATTCCTCCTCCAATACCAGAGCTTTTATTGCACAGTGCAGGGAAAAGGTGGCCTTTGCAAGTTGGATCTGTTTTGTTTTTGATGTTTTGAAACTTACATGTACAAGACCACATAAATTAAAAAATCAAACAAAGATAACCGGATAATCTAAACCAGGCAGTTCTAAATCAATTATATCCATCATTATAGGTTGGGAAACAACAATGCAAACCAAACTCTGGCTACTTTTAAATGCAATCGACTTTTTAACCTACCGTAATAACTGGTTGTTCCTCCTTTGGCAGCAGAAAAGTCCATTAAGTGTTTGCAAAAAAATTATAGGTTTTTTTTTACATCTCCGTGGAGGAATTTTGGCCCATTATTTGTTATTGTTTTAATTTAACTACATTGGAGAGCATAAACAGTGCTTCATGTCTGTCCCCTTGTATTTTCTTTTATTGAAAAAAAAAAGTTTCCACTCAATTAGGCTGCTGTATCTTTCAGCCACCATAAGGGAGATGCCTGTTACTAAAACCTCCAAGCTTCTGTGCTGAAGGATGGCACTAATGGCAAAACAAGCACAATAAAGGGAATTTTTCCAGGACTAAAATGTGTTTCCAACAGAAAAAACAATACACGTATATCCAAAGAGAAAGACAACATTAAGAAGCAGTGGTTTTCCATCATTTTCACACCAAATTTATGACTGCCCTAAAAATGCTTAAAGAGAAAATACAACCTAAAAGTAAAGGTATCGCTTATGTCGCTTTCTTTTATAGTTCATTGGTTCCCCTCTCTTTTGTCATTTTGCAAAAAAAGGTAAGACATTAAATAGATTAAACAATATTTTAGCATTAAAACTGCAGTTATAAACATTGCTCATTTTCTAAACGCCTTTACTGAGCAAAACATCGCCTTGTAATTACAATCTGCTCCATATTCAGTATGATATAAACATTTTACTACATAATAAAGCTTTATGGGAAGCAGTTTTTACATATAACAAAGCCCATTGCTTTTAATATCCGAGTACCTCTACTACTGCAGCTTCTTCCTCTATTACTTCAAGTGCCTCCCACCACTACATCAGGCAACAAACCCCACAGCACGCAGGTTCAGCCGATTAGTTTCATCCCCACAGAGCAAAGAAACAAAGGGATGGAAGAAAGCATCCGCTGGGCTCTGCTTGTGTCAACAAGTCTTTCCTCACGACCTGGGTACGTGACAAGCTGCTGTAATCTCAGAAATTACATGAAGTATTCATGAATGTGTCACTTTCAAAACAGTTTAAATAATTAAGGAAACCACTTAACAATGAAGCCAATAATTGCGCCTGGATGAAAGTGTCTCTTAATTAGCTCCTATTTGCTTTTCACCAGGTCCAGTTAAAGACTATTCTCTAGCGTGTCACATGTCAATTGGAACATTTACTTTGAATCTCAGCATCAATGTAAATGGTTACCTAGATTGTTTTTTAAATGTGATCAAATTCTTATGCATTTCCATAATGACAGAAAACAACCACATTTACAGAAAAGAAAGAAAAAAGGAATATACCCAACATCCCTAAAGCTATACATTGAAAACTTCCATTATGTCCAAAAATAACAGCATTTTCTGCTGCAGAACAAGAAAAACAAGTTTAACTTTACTTACTTGAGGCCAGGAATGTCCAGAATATTGGTGAGGCCAGTCCAGTTTATGTCAAGGAGCTGAAATGAAATTAGAAGAACAAAATAATGAAAAAAAAAATGAGATCATACTTTTATACCCATGGGTAAGACTGCAGTAACAAAGAGTGTGAATGACTCCAAATGGGTCCATACACTCAACATTATTGTTTCCTGCCACCAACTTCCTTTTACCTCCCTGCTTCATGCTTTCTGGCCGACACACTGGCTGATTGATTATAGCACTCACAGAGAGCTTATCTCAAGCTGCAGCAAACTTTTATATTAAAAGTTTCCTCGGGAGAGTTGCTTCTGTTTGGTTCCTTCTTACCTCATTATAATTCAGCATTTACTTGTTTAGCCTCATCGAAATGTAACACCTGTAAAGGGTTGCTCTTTCATTTTAGAGGTTTTTGACTCATTTTTCTCAAAGGTTTAAAAAATAAATTCTTCAAATAAAAAACCTTGTTGAGTATTCTCTTTAATAATTAGTAGCAAAACAAAAAAAAACCCTTAATTTAACTAACTATTCAACCTCTTTTTAATGATTGCTCACTATGGGATTTAGAGTATTTACTTTCCTTTGGATACTTTTTTATGTTAATAAAATCTAATAACATAAAACTCTCCATTTAAACAATATCTTTATTGAAATCCTAGGAATTTTTAGAAACAACATGCAAAAAACTAATATTTTAACTTCTCACACATCTATTCTGTCAATCAGATTTGGAATATATATATATATTTTTTGCATTAAGCAGTACCTTTGCAACATAAAGGAATAAAGGGCTATTAAGTTAAAGGTGTAATGGGGTATTTTCGCACATTTTTGAAAAAACCTGCCCTCTCTCTCCACTTAAAAAAAAAATGCACATGCACAACCCTGCACCCTCTCCTGAGAGGGAACCACTATTAAACACGTGTTTGTTTAAAGGTTGCTGCTTGCATCACTCATACAAGCTTACTTTCCAAAAGAAGATTTTCAATTTTTCCACTACAGTATGTCAAACTCTCCACCGGTAGGTTAAAATGGGGACGAGCGCTTAGGACGGTCTTATGTAAACATATCACCAGAATGACTGACAATTAGGAGGACCATTTTGATGATCATACCGGAAAAAAAAACATCCTCCACTACACCTTTAAGACAGAACATTTTTTAACAGGCAAGGTCTTTCATTGCTTCAATTTTCTTCCATATCTTTGAATCATTAACATGTATCAGGTGCAGGTGTGTCCTGTAGTATTTTAGAAGTTGTTCTGGGTTCCTTTTTGAATTTTTTGATGCTCTCTTAGAGTGATTTTTGTTAGTTGGTCACAACAGAGAAGGTTTGCCACTATTACCAGTTCTACATGATTTATTGGTAATGGCAGAAAGTGTAATTCACTGAAGTCTTAATGATCCAGTGAACCACAGTTATGTACATAATGCAGTTTTGTGCAAAATTGCTTGAGGAGACACCCGCACTGTAGCATCAATCTTAAAAAAACATTAACTGTCTGGTGAACACTGCAGCTTGATGCAATTGTGCACACAGTAAAAAAATAGCCTCTTTCTTCATTTTCTACTGGCTAATTGCTTTCCATGTGTTTACATTTTTTAACCAAAAAAATATATTTTTACCATTTAAATTAAATTGTATGATTTTTAATACATGGTAATGTTGATAAAAATCTTCATTTTTTGGCAAAATTTTTAAAAGCAATATTTGTTCCCATCAGTCCAGGAGAGAAAGGTGAAATGGAAGTGATATCCCCAGCATAATGCTGTACTTTGTCATGAAAAACACAAAGCGTTTCTCTTGAAAGAATGATTTTACTTTTTAACTTCAAGTTTTATTTTAGATCTGACAAATGAAAACTAAGAAGGGCTGCAACTAACGATTATTTTGTAAATCGATTAATCAGTCGATTATTTTTCGATTAATGGATTAATAATCGGATAGCAAGAGGTTCCTTAAATAAGACTTTTTACAAAATTAAACCAGGTGAAACTAAAACTTTTCCACTTGATGAGATCTGGATAGATCACATTGTCAGACGAATAATTGTTGATGTTTTAAAATCGTGGTATATTTACTACTGTAAGTGGGTTGCTCTGTCAGCTAAAGGCATGTTTTAGTCTCTTTACTGCAGTTAACAATTAATCAGTTTTTAAAATTAGTTGACGAATATTTCAATAATAGAGTACCGTAATCACGTTTAATCCAATTAATTGTTTCAGACCTAAAACTAAGTTTTATTTAGAAGTACATTAATTCTAGTAAAGAAAACAATTGCATAATATTATGTTTGTTGTTAGGTTAGGGGAAATTTCCATCACAAAATTGTGTTGGGCCAAAAACATGAAGAAACAAGGATTTTTTTGCAGCATTCCAGGTAAACAACAGGGCAGCCATCATCACCTTTAGAAAATTCTAAATGTATGGAAACTTTAGTGTCTTTAGGCTACTAAAACCATTACTCAGTGAAGTAATGTTGCAGTCAGACCTGGATATGTAAACTAAATATTCCAGAGCTTGTTTGTGAAAATTGGGGAATCTAAATGTACTGTTTTCAGGCAATCCACAATTTTGACCTTTTTTGTGTAGATCACCAAATATAAAAGATTCTTTACTGTCAGACAATTTTTAGTAGGAACTTATTCAAAATGAATATAGAAACTCAACCGACCATATATTGTAGCGAAAAAGCCACAGCAGGATGCTAATGAGTCCTACCACCTCCTCAAAATGGAAAAAGTACTCCACTGTTCTGTTTCAGCTTTAAAAACAGTTTAATTTAGTGTAAGGTTTGCGAAAACAATTAAATGTTATCAAGATGAAATGAATAAAATGAGGAAGGTTATAGTTTTTTATTTTTTATTTTTTATTTTTTTTATTTTATTTTATTTTTTTTACATATTTATACAATAAAACAAGAGTGTAACAACATAAATGTGACTCCTAGCTGATGGCGGCAGTAGGTTATGACAAAAAGTAAGGGGTCCTTCATATTTCTTTACAGTCCCTTTAAAAAAAAAAACATCAGAAACTAAAAATACATATTAATGGTTGCCACTTGATTCTAAATGCATTTTTTTAACCTTTCACGTGAAACGCATAAGCAGAAAGCTGCGACCAGGCTCGTTGCAGCGCACTGGACATGACATCATGTGGAAACTTTCTATTCACACAAACAATATTATCACAGGACAGCTTATTGTCAGTGGTGTTAAACTCCTGCTCTGAACTTTTACACAATCTCCTCTTTTACTTTGTAACCTTAACAGCAGCACAAGTAGCTGCAATCCATAATTATATCCTGATGGTCTGGAGCACACCTGAGCTAAAACCCAAAGCTGCATATAGAGTCTGCAGGCGAGCTAGAGGAGAGACACTACTGACAGGAGGGTCTCTCTGATTTCTCAGGAAAACCCTTCTGCTGCGTTGGCAGCAAGGGATGTGAAGGCTGTGCCTTGACAGCTTACATCCACAGTAAATGAAGATACCTCTTCATCAATATTCTCCAGACACGTCATTGCAGGAAACACATTCCTCTCTAAAGGTTTCACCTTGGCTGAACATTGTTTTGACTCTGTGATGCAGATAGTTTCACCATCTTTCCTCAGAGATTCTGGCCCAAAATGACATGATCTGCTTCAGTGTTTTTTTTTTTCTTAGAGGAGCTCTGACTGAGTTCAGGTGGTTATAGAATACTGCAGATTCTCTGTCACATCCAAGAAGCCAGATTGTGGTTGAAAAGGAAGATTATCTGAGCTCTGTTAAGGTGAAATAACTTAGTTTTAATAAAGCATCCTGTACAAGATGAGAGCAAAAACTGTAACACAGAGCATCCACATCTGAGTGTAAGCTCTGGCGCAATATAACCTCTGTCTTTTATACCCAAGGACAAGAGAAGTGCAGGAACATTATGACAAACTGTGAGAACTAGCTTCTCAGCAAGGTGCTGTGAGAACTGGCTTCTTTTTATCTATCTTTTGCAGCTGCAGAACCCAAATCCTCAGGCTGGCAAAGCAGAGAAGCACATTCTACAGAGTCCATAAGCATATTAAAACAAAGACTGAAACAATCGGATTAATCAATTATTGAAATAATCGTCAACTAATTAACTTATCGTTTAAGCGTAACTGGAGTATAGACACTCTAAAAACAAACGCCTTAAGTTGACAGGGCAACCCACTTAGAGCATATACCAAAATTGTAAAACATTTTTTACAATATATAAATATTTTTCAATTACGATAAAAAACAACAACATTTTTGTCCATCATTTTGCTTTATCTAGAACTCCTCAAGTGGAAAAGTTTTAGTTCCACCACATGTGAATTCTGTAAAAAAAATCTTCTACAGTGTGTAATAATTACAGGGATATACAGTCAGAAATGTAATATATTATACATAACTATGTTATTTATCATCATCTACGAGCTCAGCCTCTTAACCTTAATATTTGCGTTGCCTTAGAATTCGTTATTTATAATTACATAGGAGCGGGTCTCGCAGCCATGGAGGCAGACATCTTTGCGCTACGGCAGCGCAGAGCCAACAAACTAGCGATTGCGAGATCGCCCATTACGCTCGAAAGTAATTGCGGCAAGTTGAGAGAGATGAACTGAGACGGTACTGAACAATAGATGGCAGTATTAAAATTATCTATGTAAACAAACCTCATCACTTGAGAAGGTAGGTGATGCGGACGTCGTGGAAGACATTTTGTCCCGTAACGCTCGCCGTGCTGTTGGGGGGGGGGGGGAGCGGTGGGGGGGAGATGTTCATGTTGCTGCGGTCTGCAGTCTGAACGTTAGATGTCGCTGAAAATTACACACTGTAGCTTTAAGGAACTTTTAATTGACAAATTATAATACAAACCATGGGTTAATCAGTGCTGGAGACTTGGGTTCAGAACGAAATGAAATGAAATGGAAATGTCATGTCAGAAATTTCTTTCCGTACACACAGAGTGTATACAAAATGCCAAAAAGGTTTGTCTAAGTCTAACAAATATCTCATTAGAGCTACATAGCGAAGTACTCTTCT